CCTCCAACTGCCAGCAGCTCGGCCGGGCACTCCATGCGCTGCATGATGCCGCGCAAAGTTTGACTGCGTGACACAGACGCGACCAGTGCCCGGATGGCCTCGCGGTTGCGCTGGGCACAGGCCCGCCCCGTGCACTCCACCACTCGCTCACCTCCAATCTTCTGCGGCCTCCAACACCGGTAGCAAACACCCGCCCCCAAGGTCACTTGGCAATTGCTACTACCATGACCGCGGCAGTGGCATCGAAAACAGCGCCCTTTCATGGCCGGGCAGCTAGAAGGCTGGTGGTGAGCAACCAAGCGGTCTTTGCTGCAGCTGCAGGCCCAGCAGTAGGTGCTCATCCATAGCAGAGCCGTGTTAAAGTCGTCTGACTGAATGGGCGCCGATGATACCATCAACTGCGCTCGCTTGGCCCGGGTCTGGCCCTCGTGTGATACTGGCGCCCCATGTGCTTCACGGCTTGGATGGCGCGCTGTGATGGTCGATTGCATCATGGAGCAGACGGTGCACGCCGGCGCTCCTGCGGCCGCACAAATGTGGCCCTTACCATCCAACAGCCAACCAAGCTCAAAGGTCAGGCAGCGCTTCATGCTTGCAAATGGCTGCAGGTCTTCCAAAACCGCTGTGCCTCGTGGAATCCATAGCGTGGCCTCGCCACCCCGTCGGTCGCGGCCAGCCCGGCCAAAGGCCTGCGACAAGGTGTAGCCGTTGTAGCCGCTGCCAAACCAGATCACCTTCCGAACGTTGGGCATGTCCAAGCCCGCGCCCAAGCAGCTTGTGGCCACCAAGACCAGACTCTGCGTGCCGCTCCTCCACTGCTCAAGAGCGGCTCGTGTGTCTTCGGCTGACATGTCAGCATCCACGGCCAGCGACTGCTCGTGACCCAACGTGCGTGCCAACTGAGTCGACAATGCCTCAACCTGCTTCTTCGTGTCACAAAAAATCAACATGCGATCCACGCGGCCCTCTTGCTCCAACAGGTCATAGTGGCGTTCCACAAACATCTCAAATGCCTTTGTTGTTCCTTGTTGCACCCCTAGCCGAAGATCGGTTCGCATGGTTGGCATACGAAAGGTCTGGTACGAAGCGTCCTCCGTGCAATCCATGGAGCAGAGCCCGCTCATCTTTGGGGCAAAGCGTGCCAGTCAGGCCCACACACTTGACAGATGGGTCTTGGCGAAGATGGTCCAGCCGGCTTGGGCAGCGAACAAGACTCCCTCGATAGCTGGTGTCCACGAGCATTGTGTGAACCTCGTCCATCACCAGCATGGCCAGACGCTTCTGCTGCACGAGTGTTTGCACCCACCTCATCCCATGGCCAACCAAAAAGTCGACCGTCATGATAATCACTTGAACGTTGACTTGCATGTCACGGCCATCATTCTTAGCCCACTGCGATACAATGTCAGCCTGCTCGAAGCGGCGGCACAAGTCTCTGGCAAGCTCACGAAGCGGCACTACCCACACCACGACCTTGCGTGGCTGGAGGTGAGCGAGTGTACACAGCGTCTTGCCCATGCCCGTCGGGGCCACGGCCAACAGCCAGCCGTTCTGGGCTTCGTGCCGAGTCACAGCCTGTGCCAATCGATACTGATCCCAGTCGCGAAATGTTGTCTTCCACGCTTGCCGCACACATTGAGCAAGCCAAAGCTGATCTTCATACTCTTGTTGCTGCGTTTGGTCATTGTGCTGGCTTGGCTCTTGCTGCAAGGCCGTCGACGCAGCCTCTTCCACGGCTCGCGGCACGGCAACTGGCATGGACGATCCGGCTGCCTCGGCTTCGTCTAGATCCAACCCGGCAATGATATCGTCAATGTCGTCCTCAGCATCAAGGCAGGCTTCAACCTCGGGATCTGTTTGCGTGCCCACGGTCGCTTGCACCTGTGTGCTGACGTTTCTGACCCGAGACGACTGGATGACCACCTGTTTATGAACCACTTGTTGCACGCAGGTCTGCCCATCCACGGCCTCGGCTTGGATCTGATCCTCTACATCTACCAGCTGCATGAGCTTGTGCCATTCTTCAGACACAAACTGGTGGCCATACTGTGCTTCACTGGACACAAACTTGTGATCGAGCTGCGTGCGGCCATAGACGTTGCGTGCCGTTCTGCCTGCATGCTGGCTTTGAGAGTGTGCCACATTCAACGCCCCCAATGAAGGCTCGGGCGTATGATGCAACACCAGTGTACGCAGCCAAGCCACACTCATGTGCCGCCATGCGCTGACAGTGATGCTGGTTCCAAGAAACCGTTTGGTCACGGCCTGGATGGTTCGGTAGACTTGGCCTGGACGTCGCTCTTCAGTCTGGGTCTTGCAAAAAAAACGCGGTGTTTTTTTCTTGCCTTTTTGGCAGCTGACGACGCAGTTTCACCCACGCCTGTAGACAGCCAATGCAACTAGGACCCCAGCCACGTCTGAATTCAACTTAGTGACGATGTGAAGGAGACATGAGAGCGTTGTATAGCTTTACAAGTTTGTGCCAGCACAGATGGCGCACAAATTGACTTGCAAAGACACCAAGGACCTTGACAAACAGACACGCATCTACTGCATCAATTGCCACAATGCCCAAGCACATCCGGGACTGATCGCTCGCATGATAAGGCCGCCGCTCGGCGCCCTCGTCACGAGCTCGCACAGCGCCACACCCGTCATGACCGAGACAGCATTGTCCTTTTTTTTAATGTCATGGTGAATAAAGTTTCTTGCTCTTTTTCCGTGGTTGTTGGACTGTTCTGCTTCAGACGTTTGGCAAAGCCGGCCCTGCCCATTAGCTTTAATTTTTGTTTGCATAGCGATCGTCAAGCCAACCACAAGCTTCAAATTTCAATTTGCAGGTGCAGCTTGAGCGGCGGCCGTAAGAGCGGCCAGGCGGTCACCAAGGGTATGTAGGTCGTGGATATTGAACAATTGAGGATCCACGCGCCAGCCGACGCTACAGAGAACAGCAGCAGCGCACCGCCAGCGTCTGACCTGCTCCGCATGAATCAAGCCTTGGACTGGCGCCACATAGAGATCCGATGAGAACAAGGCAATGCGAACAATGACGTGGGAATCAGGTTCGTACCATTGGGATGCAAACTTTCGTAGGAGCAAGGGGTACAGGTTGCGCCCAACAGCTCTGCAACCAGCTATAAAGTGAGGCAGATTCATCGGTAAGCAAGCTTGCCTCTGCAATCAATATCGAATGTAAAAAAAGGCCCACCTCCAGCTCAATGGGATCTTTGCGAAGAAGCAGATCCAAGGGCCGTGCACCCGTCTGCCACAGCAGGTCATCAGGTATCAATCGCAGGTGCAGCAGCGGAGCGGAAAACGTATAGCATCGTGGTCAAACTTACAAAATCTCTCGCATCCGGGTCGGCACCATGCCGCAAGAGTTTTTGGACACCCTCTCGGCTGGCAGACAGGGCAGTGCAGGTTACATGAAGCGGCATTTGGCCGTCCTATATTATTATCCGTATTCGGGAACATGAGAAACGAGTGCTTTCCAGGGGAAGAGGCGGCAAAATACCATCAATTTTACACAGCAACGAAGGCAACATACGTTTTTCGTGATGTTGGGGTCTATATTGTGACTCAACAAACGTTTTACCGCATTCATGCTACCACTTTGGCAGGCGACGTGTAATGCTGTCGCTCCATCCTAGCCGCAAAAACAAACCAATTAGACAGAGATGGGCGCGAGCAACATGTTGAACTTTTTAACATCATGGGAAAAGAGGCTTCTTACACATTTTCTCGTGTTGGCGTCTGCACCATGACATAGAAGCATCGAAACGATTTCGGCGTGGTCATTGGCACATGCGAGGAGAAGTGGTGTGTTTTTACGCTGCCGAGGCATTAGTTGGCCAGCACGTCATGGTTTGGGCAAGACGGTCATGCAGCGCAAGACAAGTGGTCTGGATGAGCCGGTGGAATCCAGGACATCACAAGCCCGAGCGAAGAAGATGCGGCACAAGCGCACGCTGCTTGAGCGTGCGAGAGAGGCAGCGGCGCGATGGCAGGGATGGGGTGGTGCTTGGTTTAAAGTCACAACACCAGGGAAGGAAAGCAGGGGAAGATGCAGAGGGACAGGGCGTGCAAAGAGCGTTGCAAAAGGGCGGACGGAAAACGGAACGAGAAGAGGGGTAGCAGGAAAGAAGAAAGGAGCAAAGGGCAAAATGGACGCGCAAGGTGGGCAGGGTGTAGAAGGACAAGGGGCGGGTCCGAAACGACGAGCAACGGGAGAAGGAGCAGCAGACAGAGGGAAGGGGGGCAGAGGGGTAAAGCAGGGGAGAGGGAGGTACTGTACTGACGTCGTCCTTGGCTTCAGCATCAACCCCGTGCTTCAACAGCATCTCCACCACCTTGACACAACCCCTGATGCAGGCTCTGTGCAGTGGTGTATAGCCATACTGTGGGATGATGCATCAGCATGACGTACCGGTGCATCATCATCATCATCATCATCATCATCATCATCATCATCATCATCATCATCATCATCATCATCATCATGTGATACAGGTGTAGCATCACAGGGTGGAGGGGTAAAGCAGGGGAGAGGGAGGTACTGTACTGACCTTGCTCTTGGCTTTAGCATCAACCCCGTGCTTCAACAGCATCTTTACCACCTTGACACAACCCCTGATGCAGGCCAAGTGCAGGGGTGTTTCGCCATACTGTGGGATGATGCATCAGCATGGCGTACAGGTGCATCATCATCATAATCATGTGGTACAGGTGTATCATCATAGGGTGGAGGGGTAAAGCAGGGGAGAGGGAGGTACTGTACTGACGTCGTCCTTGGCTTCAGCATCAACCCCGTGCTTCGACAGCATCTCCACCACCTCGACATGACCGGAAAGGCAGGCACAGTGCAGTGGTGTATCGCCATCCTGTGGGATAATGCATCAGCATGACGTACAGGTACAGCATCAGCATCTTCGTGTGATACAGGTGTACCATCATAGGGCAGGTAAAGGGGTGAAGAGGGAGGTTCTGTACTGACGATCTCCTTGGCTTTAGCATCAACACCGTGCTTCAACAGCATCTCCACCACCTTGACATGACCGTGTTGGCAGGCCAAGTGCAGGGGTGTATAGCCATACTTTGGGATGGTTTCACGCATGTTCCATGTTATGCCAGGCGTCATCACATTCAGTGGCAGATTCAAAATAAAGCCAATACATGTATCACCTCCTATCATACCCAACAGCATACGCACCAAATCTTTGTATTTCGCAGCATCTCGAATAAGTTGTTGGTCCCAACTGTTTAACAGCTGCAGCGCTTCTTGTGGCTCGAATAAATCACACGCCTCATACAGCTGCTTTCCATCATCAGCCATGGTAAAGCTCTCTCTCTCTCTCTCTCTCTCTCTCTCTCTCTCTCTCTCTCTCTCTCTCTCTCTCTCTCTCTCTCTCTCTCTCTCTCTCTCTCTCTCT